TATATTATAGGAAGGTCTTTTCATTCAAATATTGATTTTTTATTTAAACTTAATTATTGGATTTATTGGTAAATAAATATTATTTTATAAATTAAATTTAAATTTTAAAATTTAAAATTAACATATAATAAATTATTTTTTAATGTATTAGGTCAATATCAATATCAATATATTTTATAATTTTATGTAAAAGTATTTTACGGTTAAGATGTCCTTTTATATTTTAGGAAGGTCTTTTCATTCAAATATTGATTTTTTATTTAAACTTAATTATTAGATTTATTGGTAAATAAATATTATTTTATAAATTAAATTTAAAATTTAAATCTTAAAATTAGCATATAATAAAATTAATTTTTTAATGTATTAGGTCAATATCAATATCAATATCTTTTTAAGATTATTTGAAGAAAAAATAATATTAAAATATATAAAAATTGATCCAAGATACTATAACAACAAATAAAATTAGTGATGTTTTAAGTGGAGAATAATTTTTTCAAAATAAATTATACTTTAAATATTAATTTCAGATAAAAAAAAACGTAAATTCCATGAGTAAATTTTCATATATATATATATACCTCTAATTCTTTGAGGTATTTTTTAATTGGTTTAAGTACCATTTTGGTCCCTTAACTTTACATTTTGGTACCAAAATTGTCCCTCACCTTTAAAAAGTACCAAAATTATCCTTAAATTTTTATTTTTAGTACCAAAATGGTCCTTCCGCCAGTTAAATGACAGGTGTCACGTTAACTTGCCAGCAAAATCACTGTTTTTTTTAATTTTAATGATGTGTAAATCCAGCGAACAAAATTTTGCTATGGTGGCATGTTTTTTCCACGTCAAATTGCTCTCCCTTTTTAGATTCATTTTTTGTGGGGCCCACATGAAAAATTGTTTTCCTTTTCGAGTTTCAGTTGAGTTCCCGAAGGCCAAACAAAAACAAACAAAGCAAAAGTTTCTCAACAACCAAACAAAAAAAAAAAAGGGATCAGAAATATTTTCTCAGCAACCAAACAAAACAAGAAGCTAAAGAAACAGAGCAAAGAAAAACTAACTTTACCATCCCAAACTGCAAAATTAATCAAACCAATCACTAAGAGTATGAATTTCGTGCTTAGAGCTATGGAAATGAAGTGAAATTGTGAAATTACTGGAAGAAATACTAGGGTTTGTTCCGTGAGGAACCCAAAAATTAGGTTCTTCAAGGAACCTCGCGTAACCTAGGTTCTGGGTTCGTCAAGGGTTCCTCGCGAAACCCAGAACCTAGGTTCTTCAAGGAACCCAAAGAACCCAGAATTGGGTTCTTCACGAAACCCAAACTGGGTTCCTCACGAAACCCAGATCTGGATTCCTCAGGGAACCCAGGAACCCAAAACTGAGTTCCTCAAGGAACTGGGTTCCTCAAAAAACCTAGCACCGGGTTAGGTTCTGCCACCCAATACCGGGTTGGGTTCCTCACGAAACCCAAATCTGGGTTCCACGAAGAACCAAGATGAACAAGAGGAAAACCCAGCATCGGGTTCCATGAGGAACCAAGATGATGAAGAGGAAAAGGATGGTGAAGATGATGAGAAGGATGTTGAAGAGAATGGTGAAGAAGATAAATGGTGAGATGATGATGCCGAGGATTAGGCTGAAGATGAGGAGAAAGTAGAAGATGATGAAATGAAAGTTAATTAACTTAATTACTTTTAAATTCATTTAATTTATAAATTCATTTTTATTTAAATAAAAAAATAACACATGAAAAAAAAATGCCATCTCATCACTTTTAGCATGATATATTTTCCACGTAATTATTATTTTTTTAAGAATATGATTTTGCTGGCAAGTTAACGTGACACCTGTCATTTAATTGATAGAATGACTATTTTGGTACCAAAAATGAAAGTTTAAAGATAATTTTGGTACTTTTTAAAGGTGAAGGACAATTTTAATACCAAAGTGTAAAGTTGAGGGACCAAAATGGTACTTAAACTTTTTTAATTTCGAGCTGATGTTTTGAAGTACAGTGTAGATGGTAAGAAATATTTTATTTACGGTAATTTTTCATTTAAAATGAAGTTAAAAATAAAAATAAAAATAAAATAAAATAAAAAAGGAAAATTGAGAAGTACCGTACAAATTTCTGCGGCTGGTGAGAACGAGAGGCGTTGGAAGGCCACCCAAAAATGGGAATTAACCTCTGCAAGTGGATTTACTGCGCTGTAAATGTTGGCCGAACGGGAATGACGGATTTGTCCATTTTATTAGATTTCCACCCTTTTTTTTTTTTTTTTTTTTATTAGATTTCCTTTTGATTCTAGTGACATTACGCCCTTTTTTAAGAAAAAAGATTGTTCGGCGGAATATTCTCGTCGATTGGACAAAAGTTGAAAAATGAAAATGATATACTAATAATTTATAATGATTAACTATCAAATTTTATATAATATCATAATTATATTATTAAAAAAATAACATGATTGATAAAATCGAGTTAGAATACAAATTAATAGTAAAAGTTAAATCTTATTTTATCATAAAAAGTGTTTGAAGTAATTTTTTAAATACAATAATAATAGATATTTGATATGTAATAATTAATTAATATTATTTGTGTAAGTAAAAATATAAAAATAATATCATTATTATAATATTATTTAATATTATAAATTTATAATATATTATATTATTATATAATTAATTTTTTTACTTTATAATTTACTTTTAATATTATGTATTTATTAATTTAATAATATCACATTTATTTAATTAATGAGATATTATAATTATAAATTTATAATTTTATATAATATTAAAATTATAATGTTTAAAAAACAAAAAAGAGAAAAGTATAGAATTGATGATATTTTGGCAACTATTTTGAAACATTACAATATCTTTAGAAATGATGCTGAAACATTATTTAGTATATCAAATTCAAACTCCAAAGTCCAAACTTCCAAAGACTTCACCCGAATTTAGACGATGAATAATTATTGGACGTGGAGTGCTTGGAAGCTCTCATGAAGTTTCTGGAGCTCATCGAGCCGTGTGTGCTCCTACCACCAGGTTGTTTCGTTTTCCCCTTTTTTTCTTTTAATCACGTCATCTATCTTTTCATTCAACTCAAAACCCTCTTTTCATTTCAATTATGCTGACAAAAAAAAAAAAAAAAGTTCTTTTTCCAATTGATATTTCCTTCTCTTTGTCATTTATTCTTTTAATTTCTTATCTTTTTTTTTATTCCTTTTCTCCATGATTCTTTTTTTTTTTTTGTTCTTAACTACTCCCTTATTTTAAATTAACTTTAATTTTTAAAAATTTTAAAATTAAAAATTTGAAAATAATATTATATTTATTTATAATATCCTTTAAAAAAATAAAAAATAAAAATTTTCTTTGTAATTGCATGATTAATTAAAATGAATAGATAATAATTGAGTTAAAATAAAAAATATTTGTTTATTTTGAAAAATAAAAAATAATAATTAATTTAAAATAAAAATAATTATTATTTTGAAAAAGAGAGAATAGATTTTTATATTTGGCAAAAGAAGGATAGAAATGTAGAAATGAGACAGAAAAATATTTTTAGGTTTTAGTCCATGGGAGGATAGTCATAGTTAATTGTTCCCACAATGATAGTTATAATTACCTCTAGATGAGGACTCTGGGGTCTAACAAAATGATAAACTTAAAATAGGAAAAATTATTTATTTTAAAAATAATTAAAAATAAATTAAAAGTAAAAAAATGATAATTATTTTAAAATAAAAGATGTAAATTTTTATATTTGGTATAAAAAAAGAAAATGTAAAAAAGAGAGAAAATATATTTTTAGGTTCAGTCTATGGAGGATGGACCTAGTTAATTGTTCTTACAATGATAGTCATAATTACTTTTTTTTTAACAAAAAAAAAATTAAAAATTAAGTTAATATCTGCACTTCGCAAGATTTGAACACTAATAAAAAATGCAATCTATTGATATCCTTATTAGGTTGCAATGATCAACAATCAGTCATAATAAAAAAATGCATAATCATAATTACCTTTAAATGAAAACTATAGCTCTCTTTCTTTAGACAAAGATTTATATATATATATATATATATATATATCTTTAAAAAAATTTTAAGATTTGTTGGTTACTTAATTATAACCATTGATTGAAATCGTACTTCTGTTTTTAATGCGAGACTAGATGGTCTCTTTTTTTTTTTTGTTTGAACATTCAAAAATTTAAAAATGAAAGATATTTTTTAAATCATCAATGAAAGTTGAATTCTGACCAATTAAATATAGACATTTAAAGTTTAAGGATAAATCATTAGATTTAAAAATTCATTTAGTCTTAATTAATTTTATCATGTTTAAAGTTAATGAAAATAAAATATATCTTGTAGTATTTAAAAAGATCTAAGATTTTAGAAATTGTTTGGTTTTAAGACGAAAGAAAGTTGTTTTGACAAAGTAAATAAAAACGTTGGCCACCCTTCCCTCCCTCCAAAAATCAAACCAAACAAATTTTTATTGTGTTATAAAAGAATACAAAATTAAAAATCTTACAATATATTTGAATTATAAGTGAAGAAAAGGTTAATTTTACGCAAGATTTATTAAAATCTACAAATAAAAATGTTAGTTTACGTAATAATTTATAGGTTAAATACTTTTTTTGGTCCTTCTACTATAAAAAAATGCTCCTTTTTTTTATCTTTGTACCAAAAAAATCCCTTTTTTTTTGTTATTACTGTTCACAAATTTGGTCCCTTTTTAATCATTTCGTTAAATTTTGACTGATGTGACAGGTTAATTATTGGAAACACTTATTCTTTTTTTTTACTAAATTACGTGGAAAATCCATGTGACAAAAATGAATGACATGTTAAATTTTTTATTTTTAATTACTGATATATCTTGGTCTTTTTCCTCGGTTTTTCCTTCCTCCAGCCTTTTTTTTTTCTTTTACCTCCAGGCGAACCCAAGAGCCTGGGTTCGCGAGGAACCCAGCTCATGGGGTTTGCGTGGAACCCAGCTGGCTTGGATCAAAACAAGGAGGACCACGGCAATCTTCATAGGAATCCATCATCAAATAATTGCCGCTGGTTAGGTTTCAGCTGCGGAATGAGTTCTAGTTGGGGCAATCGGAGTTGTACAAGCAAGTTGATAGGGATGATCCCAAAGCTCTCCTTTGACTAATTAATAAATTTATTAAATTAAGCCTTCATTGGCTAATTTTCTCTTTCACAATAGGCTTCGTGATTTCAAAGATTTTCGTTTAGCGGTTTTGTTTTGTAACTGTTAGAAACCATTGAAGGTGGATGATGGGTGGTGGTGGAGGAAGCATTCAATGTTTGAAACTTTTCTGCACAAATTTTCTGTGTGAGAGAGGGAGGGGATTCCGAACGGTTTGGACGGATCGGGAAGTGAATTTCTCAGCGGCATTTTATTTTATTCAGTAACACTACCAAACTCTTCAATAGCAGACGAAGCAATCCAAGAATTTTAGGTAATTGTTTTCATACTATGCCTTTGATTCTATGATTCCATCTTCTTTCTTCAAAACCCTAGTAATCCTTCAGTCATCATGTCAGTTTCTTATCCTTGTTGTTTCTGTTTAATTTCATTTCTTAACCTAATTATTTTTCTTTAATTTCATAAACTTATCTGCAATCGACAGTAAGATTTCACTGCCAGTCGGTTACTACAACACAGCTAATGTTCAAGATTAGTCCCAACATCCTCCATACTACGTCCCTTCGTGTATTTCTCTTAACCCAGCTTTCTCTTTATAATAATCTATTTTTCAGTTACCAAGTCTTGCTTCGATTCAATTGGCCGAGTGAGTTCGTGTCTGTATTTTGTGAAAGAATCCTAAAATTAAATTTTACTTTGTTCGTATTGTTTCTTCTAAATGGAATCGTGCTTCAATCTTGAGTTTCTTATGTCATTGGATTTTTTAATGGAGATGAATGGTGATTAAAAAATTAACAATAATAATAATAATAATAAAAGATAGAAAAGGAGAACCAAAATAATACAGACATGAAGTTAGGTTGGAATAATTTGCCATTAATCTATATGCAAATTCTTTTGTTTATAGTGAGCCTTGGGATCGTCCCTATCAGCTTGCTTGTATAGCTCCGGTTTCCCCAACCAAAACTCATTCCGCAACTAAAACCTAACCAGCAGCAATTATTTGATGATGGATTCCTATGAAGATTGTTGTCGTGGTCCTCCCCATTTTGATCCAAGCCAGCTGGGTTTTGCGTGAACCCCGTGATTTGGTTTCCTCGTGAACCTAGGCTATTGGGTTCGCCCGGAGGTAAAAGAAAAAAAAGAAAAAAAAAAAGCTGAAGGAAGGAGAAGGCGGGGAAGAAGACGAGGGTATATCAGTAATTAAAAGTAAAAAATTTAACATGTCATTAATTTTTGTCACATGGATTTTTCACGTAATTTAGTAAAAAAAAATAAGTGTTTTCGTTAATTAACCTGTCACATCAGCCAAAATTTAACGGAATAACTAAAAAAGGATCGAATTTGTGAACAGTAAGGACAAAAAAAGTGATTTTTTTGGTACAAGATCAAAAAGGGGATTTTTTTCTATAATAGAGGGACCAAAAAGAGTATTTAACCTAAATTATATTGAAATAATCACTCCTCTTGTATCAATCTTTCCAGCCAAGTGACATCTTATCATATTGTGGTGCACTTTTCCTCCTATTCAGTGGATTCGAACCACCCTTGACAAATTATTCAAAAAAAAAGAAGAAATAATCACTCCTCTTTCTCTTAAACCAAACCGACTCTCACAGCCTTAAAACAAAATCAAGATGTCCGATCCAAAAATCAAAATTGAGATAGAAACCAAACCGGTCGGCAATATATACAGGCCAATTAGAACCGAAACAAACTATTGCGACCAGAAAACCTGACCGAACCGGACTGTGCCAACCATAATGCAAGACCCATCTTTCAGTCCCCCAACACGATCACCTTTTAAGATCAGCGAATCACAAGCCAAGAACGCAGTTCCCCCCATCCGACGCGTCTTTTGGACTCGTGAACATCTCTCACCATTCCACACCATCCACCGCAACACCATCACATCACATAATTGGTCCGTCACTTCCACGCGCCAACCAGCGCGCATAAAAACACCTCCCCATTTTGAAATCACACGCCACACAAATCCAAAATCACAAATATATAAACAAAAAAAAAAAAAAAAAAAAACGTAAGAAAGTTTTTTTGTTAAAAAGGAGTGACCGATTGATCGGAACCGAAAGAGAAAGGCATCGGGCTCTTCGCCACCGTTCTTCTCTCTCTAGAAATCCTTGAAATTTAGGGTTTCATTTCTCTGGTTATACGGGTTTTCTTCGAAATCTAGGGTTTTCACGGCGACGGAATTTGGGGGTTTGATCTGGGAAGAACCAGAGGAAAGGGTTGAGAAGGGGGGACGAAAAGATGAGCTTGGATTCGGTGCCGTCGAATTCTCATGGGAACCTGGACGAGCAGATTGATCAGCTCATGCAGTGCAAGCCGTTGTCTGAGCAAGAGGTACTGTTCTTTTTATGTATTGGGTGGTAAATGTTCATGGGTTCGCTGATTCTTGTTGTTTTGGTGGTAATTTCTGGTTATTGGTACGGATCTGCGAGGGATTTGTTGGTTCTGGTGCGGGTTTGTTGGGGATCTGTGATTCTGTGTGTTTATTAGAATTCGGGTATTTTCTGATCGATCTCGAGGTGTATTCCTTTGTTGTTTTGATTATCATGGTTTTTATATTCGATTTCCTGGATGATAACCAGATCTGTAAATGGGTATGGTTTTGATTAGGAGTTTGGGGTTGGCATTCGAGGTAGAAAATTTACTGTTCTCCCCATTAAAAACGTGGATTGAAAAATAGGGGTTTTATCATTACAACGAATATATGATGTTATCTGCAGATGCACATATCTCTAATGTTGTGGATTGCGGTAATGTTATTTCTCCAGACATGTTTAATGATACGAGACTCAGATTAGAGGGTGAGGGACCAAAAAGAAAATGATTTCAGCCTTAGAATATTCTGTTAGTTTTGACGTGACAGTTTATTTTGAAACTCTGTACTTGGTGGTTGCGATTGAGTTTGGTCATACATTCTAAAACTAGAGAGCCCTTTGTTTTTTATTCATATGTTATAAAGTTTTTGTGGACTAATTCCTTTTTCTTTTTTCTCGTTTTTTTTTATCATTGAATTAGGTAAGGGTGCTGTGTGAGAAGGCTAAAGAGATATTGATGGACGAAAGCAATGTTCAGGTTTGCTCGACCATTTCCTCTCTTAATATATGATAGCCATGTTGTTATCCGTACATTAAAGTTATATGCATTTTTTTTCGTCACTGCAGCCTGTGAAGAGTCCTGTTACAATCTGCGGTGATATTCATGGGCAGTTTCATGATCTTGCAGAGCTTTTTCGTATTGGAGGAAAGGTAAGTAGGTAACTGTTCTGTAACAGTTTGCATTTGTCTCGTTTTGGGATTACTGGTGGTTAGTTACTGTCTTAAATTTATATGAAGACACATAATGCTAAGATTAATGTATTTTCTTGTTTGTTGTCAAATGTCTTCTTCAGTGCCCAGATACAAATTACTTGTTCATGGGAGATTATGTTGACCGTGGTTACTATTCAGTCGAAACTGTAACAGTGAGTATGAGTGGTTATCTTTTATTTTCAGAATCTGATCACTTCTGTTTGAGTTTAATTTTTTATTCTTAACTGGTATAAATGAGGTATCGAATAAAGGCTTTAACTTATGATTTGTCTCTGATTGTCTTTTTCTCAGCTCTTGGTAGCTCTTAAAGTGCGTTACCCCCAACGGATAACCATTCTAAGGGGAAACCACGAAAGCCGCCAGGTATGCTATGTACTAAGTGGTTGTTGATGGTTTGTGTCTAATCTTGATTCAATTTAATATGAACTTGTGAAGGTGGTGTTATTTTTCATGATATTGTACTTCAAATATTGCATGTTTTGTTTGCATGAGTATTATTTTCATATTCATATTTTGAAATTTCTGTATCAGAATTACATTCTTCTATTTCCTGATAATTAGCTCATCTTTCCCAATGCAGATTACTCAAGTTTATGGGTTTTATGATGAGTGCCTAAGGAAGTGAGTATCTTGGAGTCCTTGATATATATTTTTTTCCCCTCTGCAGTTCAGCTACTACATCTGACTTAAAATTTTAGATGTTAAATGAAAATATTGCATTTTGATCATGTAATACATCCTGTCTTATTTCCTTGGGCTCTCTTCTGGTTGGGAAGTGAAAAATAAGTTACAATGAACAAAATCCTGAAAAAATTGTCCTTGTATTCCCAAGATATTCCACGAGTTATTATGGTTGCTCCTTCGACGAATCTTTTAATTTAATTTGGTGTGTTTTCTGCATTGTTGAATCCTCCGCTTTAATGTATGTGTATCTTGTTGCTATTCTTAAAATTTTAAGTTCTCTTTTTTGTTCTGCAGGTATGGCAATGCAAATGTTTGGAAGATTTTTACTGATCTCTTTGACTATTTTCCGCTAACTGCATTGGTTAGTATTTTTTAATTGCACTACTATTCCTGATTTGATCTTCAATTCTTCGCTTGGTCAACTTGTGGGTGTGTGTGTGTCTATATGTATATTGGTGGTTTGTGATGTGATGATAACTGAATGAGTGAATGAAAAGTTGTCTTTGATTGTGATTTTTTTTCCTTGGTTGTACTTACCTATAGATTTTTTTTCATTTTGAAGGTTGAATCAGAAATTTTCTGTCTCCATGGTGGATTGTCTCCCTCCATTGAAACTCTGGACAACATTCGTAATTTTGATCGTGTTCAAGAAGTTCCTCATGAGGGGCCCATGTGCGACCTTTTGTGGTCTGATCCAGATGATCGTTGTGGGTGGGGTATTTCTCCAAGGGGTGCTGGATATACCTTTGGACAAGTAATATTTCGTTTATTGCATTTGCCTTTCTTCTCTCGTTCTTAAAATTGGTGAAAGTATATATATTTATCGTTGTTTGTTTGTTATCATCAATAATTTCTCCAGGACATATCTGAGCAGTTTAACCATACAAACAATTTGAAGCTCATTGCTAGGGCTCACCAGCTGGTTATGGAAGGATATAATTGGGGTCATGTAATTACTTTCCCCTCTTTTGAGGCTCTATTTGGCATTGCTTTGGTTTTTGGGTGCTGAGATTGGTTTAATTGATGTGCATCCTTTTGACAGGAACAAAAGGTGGTTACCATATTTAGTGCACCTAATTATTGTTATCGTTGTGGGAACATGGCTTCTATCCTTGAAGTTGATGACTGCAAGGGTCACACATTCATACAGGTCTGCCTGTCTGTCTTTCTGTTTCTCTCTCTCTCTCTCTCTCTCTCACACGCACACGCACACGCACATATGCACATTCACCACTTGCCTCGTGTTCTGGTAGGCTTTGCCTTTTATGTTACAGTTTCATTCCTTTGAGGAGGTTTTCAACTTTTTTTTTCTTTTTTTTGCAGTTTGAGCCTGCTCCAAGGAGAGGAGAACCAGATGTGACCCGGAGAACACCTGATTACTTCTTATAATTCTGCACGCTGGTTAGAGAATTGACAAGTCTCTTAGTGACCAGTGTTTCTGAACTGGTGGTGCGTTGAGGGCTTTTTCCAATTTAAGATAAAATTTACATTTCACGGTGGTGATGGTGGTGGGTTAACATCAAGAATGTAAAATGGGTGACTGAGGCTTCCTTGGTGGAGGTATAGTCGAATTATGGTTAACAAGAGAGGAAGCAGAAAAGCTGGCAACACTATAGGGGGCAATTGTACCATTTCCAGCAAACAATTTGGCATTTCTATTTTTCTACTCGATTTTCATTTTTGTTCGTATTTTTGTCCTTTCATCTGTAGAATGGCTGTTGCAGGGTTGGAGATCTGTAGAGGGGTGTTGAATTGAGACAATTTCTTATAATGGGTGCTTCTATAATTTTTGTTTACTTCTGTTCAAGTCAAAATTTTCCGTCTATTTTTCCTGTGTTTAAGAAAAAAAAATCTTCAGTGCCAAGGTTTATCATGTATGAGCAAATTTTGATGTCAGCTCTCTGTGATACTTCACGACTGCATTCTTGGTGCACTGAAGAATTTTTGTCATTTAGCGGCCAGTTCGTCCTGCCGAATTGAAAGATACTGCTCTAGAACTATTTTTTCATAGTAGGTTCGCTTCTATAAACGTAGAAAGAGCTCCTACTTATGCTCACCAAATTTTCAATGAAAAGTTCTCCAGTGTATTGGGCTGTTGCATCACTTTTTATTATCTTGATTCCGCTGGTCTTTAGTAAATTTCATTTCGGGAATTGAAGCCTTGAACTCGATGAAGGTGTGCTTCTAAATTTTATACGTCATTTGCATTGACGGTAATGGTATACAACAAACCGGGAAAGCCTTCGATGATACTATATACGGTTGACGGTAATTTCCATGCAGGCGTTTTTGCTGTTACATTTATGTTTTGAGTTAATTTCGAAGGACTGCAACTTCTCTGAAGGGGAACACCCCTGTACAAAACAATGGTATACAAGAAGCCTGGAAAAGCCTTCAGTTTTGAGTACAACACCATACATTCCACTTAAGCTGGGAAGCTCCCTCTTCAGCCAGGTTGAAGTAGAACCTTGCCCTAGTGATCTGCTCTTTCATGAACTCTCTCCATGAATCCGTGACCTTCCTAGAGAACACATCTTTGTCGCATAAACCAAATTGTGCAAGCTCGTCCTGGGGAAGGTATACTCTTCCTCTAGAAGCACTAAAAAGCAGACAATTAAAGTGACTCAGAAAGGATTCAGAATAGGGGAACCTTTAAAGCTTATAGTAAGTCAGAGAACTCACTCTTCTCCCACATCTCTAAGAATGTTTGTCAATTGATTTCCAATGCCCAGGTATAGAGCAGCATTGTATATATTCTGAGCAGCAACCAAGGATTCTGGTGCAATTCCCATTACTGAAACACTCATTAGCCCTACAGTTCCAGCTACATAGTAGCAATAAAGATAGAGCTCCTGAAAATTCTGGCACCGGTGTTTTCTAATGTCCATTCTCATCCCCTCAATCATGTCCCTGAAAGGCTGTATATGAAAAAGAACATCAATCCGATTAGATTAATGCTTCTGAATCTACAAACAAGGTATCGATTAGTAAAATGGATTTCTAAAGGAAACCTTGATGTCCAAGGGGAATTTGAAGACAGTATCAGTGAGTGCAGCATCTAACATGTCATAGGGGTGGCCATCAAAGATTTCATGAAGCCTCTCTTCCCACCTATCAAGAACAGAAGAGCTCATGTAGGTTGCATTTGGTCCATCAACTAGTTCATCTGTCCCCCTGCACCAAACTACAAAAGAGCCTCTTGACTAATTTGTATGCAGAATTTGATATAATCATTTGTTAGAGTTTGTTTCTTACCATAAATTGCCCATATGGCTTTCTGTCTCTCCTCTGTCATTAACCTGGTGCCTGCGTCAAGCATTAGGAACATCAACACCAGATAACGAAAGAAGATTCACAATCCTATAAAAGAAGTTAGAAGATTCATGGAGTTGCACCAACCTAGATAGAAAGTCTCGGGATATTCTGCACAAATATTCCTGCATCCTTCATAAGCCTCTTCTAGAAAACCAAGATGGAACTTTGGTTTTGATCTGCTGGTATCTTCCAACCCCAACTTGTTTATCCGTGATTGCCTTTCTACAACTTCCCTAACATGCAGATCAGAGTGAGGAAGGCCCTCTTTTGTCAATCCAGGAAACCTGTTTGCTTTTCTTGGAGTTGCAACCACATCTGCTCTCCTCGTTATAACCGTGGATCTTTGAGCCTGTAAGCTTCCATTGCCAGCTCAAGGCTTAGCAGACACAGAAATTGTAGAACTCATTTGGTAATCCTAACAAGTTATCATCTCAGGTTGAGCCCTGGATCCTT